TGTTTAAACATTTTGTTTTGCTGAAAATTCGGAAGTGATTTAGTGCCAATTTGTTTCTTCTCAATTTAACTGCATGCAAAACCATTCGTATAATTTTCACTCTATGCAAAATAGAGACTTATAGAGACCTTGATGAACATTTGATGTCGACAAATAATTTCGAGTATTCGAAATATTCCGTCCCACTTCTTTTAACACGCCCTGTATATACATATTGTATTCATTTTGTTTGCCTTTGATACAGTAAAATCCAATATTATTACTGAACATACAATACAAGAAGTTAAATATTTTTACTTTTCAAGCGATCGGAATTAAATACTAACACCCCACTGTTTGAGGCCCACTGATCATATCTTAATTACATATCGGTTGTCATAGGGTAAAAGGAATATAGCAACACCGATCTACGGTTCTTCGTACCATCACTGATGCGAAGTGGTTCATTCCAAATGTAGACAGACGCTATACAATTATTGAAAATGAGCCAGGGAGGCCTAGATTGGGAAAACAAGCAGGGAGATATCAAAATAAAAGAAATTGTTGAGTGTACAGTGGTGATAACCATTATTTTGAAATTCTATTTAACATTGTAAGTCTGGGGAACACAAACAATAAACATTTCTGTACATCTGTTTTCTACGGATAATTTATTATATTATTCGAATTTGTAAATTCTAAAACACATTTTCTAATTTAAAAGTAAGGATTAATCCTTATGTTATGATTACAACATGGCGTTTCTGTTCGCACCGTTTAAAAATAGTGAAGCTGGAAATGTAACTTTTAAAAAGTCATAATAGTTTTGACAGGTTAATTTATGACACTCCTTGTTTAAAAAGTGGGACTGGTTTATTGTTGTAGTATTTTTGTAGAACTATTTTAGAAATTTTATTAGGAAAAAGTAAAAGCATTTTTTCCTTATCGAGTGTCATAATTATGTCAATATTATTATGAGAACGCAACTACATATGTTATATTCATTAACAGAACTATTTGAGGTTATTAAAATAAACCGGCAATTCAGATAAGGAGATACAGACCAAACACATGAAAAAATTTAATTTAAGATCACCAGATGGACAAACACGAGTATTAAAGGTGAATGAATTTTATGCATCGTTGTTTTGACAAGAAGACAATCAATTAAGGCGTAGGTGGTCTAGTCTGCCGATATTTATACAGATTTAATAATTGTGGAAAAAGAGGTCCATAATAACTTCTAAAATTTACATTTAAAATTGCAATATAGTCAAGATACAATGTATATAATAGGTACCTGACGATTCAATTTCAATGTAGGAAATAGGGTTATCATGAATATGTTTAATTAAAAATTGGGTTTTTTCTCATTAATCATAGTATGTATATAATACAGGGTGTTTCAAAAAGGTATCTCATAAATAAAATCACGCATTCCGAGGACAAAAATAAATTGATTGAATCCAACTTACCTTAGTACAAAAATTTACACAAAAAAAGTTACAGCCTTTTTAAGTTAAAAAATAAAAATTGTTTTTTTTGCATTATCTCCTTAACTATTTGACATTTTGTAATAAAATTGTACACGTTACTTTCTTGTTCTGAAAGCATTTTTCATACAAAATAAAGAACAAAATCTAAGCCCACAGAAAAATTTTAAGGGGGGTCTGCAACCCTAAATCCCCACAAACTTTTGAGTACGTTCGAATTAAATGAATTTTTGACATCATTTGTAATAAAAATATACACGTTACTTTCTTGTTCGGAAAGCAGTTTTCATAAAAAAGAAACAACAAAATCTAAGAGCACAGAAAAATTTTAAGGGAGGTGTGCAGCCCTAAATGTCCACAAACTTTTGAGTAAGTCCAAATTAAATGAATTTTTTGACATCATTAGTTTAACACATTATTTTTAAAACTTTTTCGCCTCCTATCACTTTTTCGAAAAACTAGTTTTTTCCTAGTTGGTCATAAAATTACAATTAATTAGTTTCTACGGATACAATAATTACAAACAGTTCCATCAATAATAGTTAATAATTTGAAGCTATCATTTATTGCGTAGGACAGGAAATGGCAGATATGCATTTAACTTTGAGTAAACTGGATCAGATTAAATTATGATTTCAATAAACAATCGGGAATATCGTAGGTGAATGTCAAGGAAATAGTGCAGCAGCCGCAAGGCGTTATGCAGTAAAATACCCCAATCGAAATACACCCGATAGACGATTATTTCTGACCATTGATCGTCGTTTACGGGAAACGGGTACATTCCAACCGCTAGTTGCTGGCAATAGTGGTCGTTCAATAATGGATGCAACTGATGAACAGATTCTAGAAATCATTGAGAAGAAGAAGTCCTTGGAACAAGTACAAGGGTAACAGCTGCTCAACTACATGTTTCTCACGTAAGGGTTTGAAGGCGTTTGAAGGATCAGCTGCTTAAACCCTATCACTTAACAATGGGTCAAGAGTTATTGGTTGAAGATTATTCTAAAAGGAGGATTTTGCGATTGGTTGTTAATGGAAAACACTCGAAATGTTAATTTTATTAGAAATATTTTGTTTACCGACGAGACTACCTTCAATAGCAGTGGAATAACAAACCATCATAACGAGCACATTTGGGCCGACGAAAATCCTCACGCCAAAAAATTGGGCCGACGAAAATCCTCACGCCAAAAAAACGACGCACCACCAAAGCACTTTCAAAGTTAATGTTTGGGCAGGAATTTTGAATAACAATCTAATAGGCCCAGTATTTGTTCTCAACAATTTAAATGGTGATAATTATTTGCAGTTCTTGGCAAACGATTTTCAAGAGTATTTGGAAGAAGTGAATATTGCAATAAGGCAAAATATTTGGTCTCTACAAGATGGCGCTCCACCATATTACACTAATGAAGTCCGGGAATAGGTTTGCAGGCAGTATCCTGGTCGGTGGATTTGATGGGATCGTAACGCACCTATTTCTTGGCCACCCAGAAGTCCAGGTCTTAACTCCATGGATTTTGCTTTTGGGTGTTTATGAAAGAGAAAGTGTATTCCATAACAATAGAAGTCGAACAACAACAAAAATATGATTTTTCAGCGCATTCGGTTTTCCTTATTAAAACGATACCAAACGTGCATTGAAGAAAATGGGGGTCATTTTGAACATTTATTGTAATATCATATTTATAGAAGTTATAGACATTTTTTGTACTTGTTAATTCATTTAAGCCATTTATTTAGTTGCACGTAATTTTTTAAAGGTTAATGAAAAGGGCTGTAACTCAATAAAAACTGTTTTTTGAAAAAAGTGATAGGAGGAAAAATAATTTTAAAAACAATATGTTAAACTAATGATGCCACAAAATTTATGTGATTTGGATGTACTCAAAAGTTTGGGGGACACATCCCTCTTAAAATTTTTCTGTGCGCTTAGATTTTGTTGTTTCTTTTGTATGAAAAATGTTTTCAGAACAAGAAAGTAACGTGTACAATTTTATTACAAAATGTCAAATAGTTTAGGAGATAATACAAAAAAACAATTTTTATTTTGTAACTTCAAACGGCTGGAACTTTTTTGTGTACACTTTTGTACTAAGGTAAGTTGGATTCAATCAATTTAATTTTGTCCCCACAATGCGCGATTTAATTTATGACATACCTTTTTGAAACACCCTGTATAAAAATGTCACAAGAAAATAGTTTCAGATGTATATTAAAATATTTAATAAGAAAAGTAAGTAAGAAAAACAAAAAAAACTCAATTAGAACTAATCTACTACGTTTGAAAATTACCATACACCAGTAATAAAAGTTTCACAATTATTAGAAAATTTTCTTGACTCACTAAGCCATGCAATTATTGATTAAACCCTTACAGCTAGCTCATTTGCATACTATGTTTCAATATAGTTAAAGTTTGTCGTGGTTTTCATATAATTTTTATAAAGTCTTGTACAAAACTGAGATACTAAGGTCCTGTATAAAGACCGTTCTAAATCTATAAAATTCTTCTGGGTCAAAGCAGACGCAGGAATAACAAACAATGAAATTGCAGATCAAATTGCCAAAGAAAGCATAGTAATGGGGGAACAAATAAATTTCGAATTAACCACAGATGAACAAATAATCATAGCAAAACAGAGAATGATGAAGAAATGGTCCTATTTATGGCAAGAGTACAGCTTTACAAATTCAACACGTTACACCAGACTTGAAACCAAATTAAGGAGAAAATCTTGGTACAATGAGTATGATTACAGTCGAAAAAGTATAACTACTATCAGCAGAATGAAGTTTGGTCACGCATGTTATCCAGTCATTTATTTAAAATAAAAATACTTGAGAGTGATCTTTGTGAAACCTGTAATAAAATCGGTGACCTGGACCACATTTTTTTGATTGTTCAAAATATAGAGCTCAATTTAATGAGCTTTTCAGAAAACTTTTAAAATTAAACATTGAAAGCCCATATAATATACTGCATCTTCTTGCTAAGACAGAAAAGAAATTTACGATTGTTTGCTGTCTTTCGTCAGAACAACGAATATACAAATATAACCACCTTTGTTGAAACGTGATGTGTTTCCTTAATGTTTGTATACCTATCTGTCATAGGCCTACCTTTTATCGTTTACAAAAATGCCCTGATCGACCCATGGACGAGAAGAGTGTAATCCCCGTGTAATCATTGTATTGTATCTGTTTTTAATAATTTGTGTCTGGCTGTGTGGGTATGGGTATTTACCGAAAGCCAATAAAAAAAATTGTGTTACCATGCATTTCCAAATGGAGTATAGATAATGGTTTGACACCATACAATTTATATAAATTTATAAATCCGTATTGGCAGTAGGCTGTGCAAAATAAGATTTAAACAATAATAAAACCTAATGCAAATACCAAATTTGAAATATAAACTTGAAAACGAATCCCTCAAAAACGAAGAAAAACGACCAAAGACCAAATAAAATTATTATTGTTATTGTTATTTAATATAACAAAAGCAATTTTTTCAAAACTTACCTTTTATAAAGCTTATAGCGTGAAGTGAGATGACTTGAGTGCGCGAATAACTAGAAAACCACTCACTTTTTCGTTCTGAATGTATCTCATTTCAGGCCAGAATTCTGGAGGATAACTGGACGCATGACGTCGCGATGCTTCTATATATCACCGGTGGTAAAGTGAGTTTTAGTCGCTTTTTTATACGTTTGGGAGTTCGGGATACTGGCAGAAGGTTATCTTTCATTCCTGTTTCGACAATTAACTGTTGATACTCTCTGTTTGGATTTGAATATTTTGTATGGATATGCGATGTACAAGTAAAGTCTAAACTAATATTTTTCAGCTAAAATGTATTTATAAGTTTTCTAAATACTGCATGTAGTTAATTCAACAGTTGAAACTAATCTACGCAATGATGTGGCTAAACTGTAACGTACTTATTTAGGGGAAGTATGCTTATGATGGCATACCTAACTTTACCCCTCGTTTTTTTTTATTAAAATACATGATCATATTTTTTACAATTTTTTTCTAGTTCAGTTGAATGTACAATTAGGCTGGACATATAAAGGTCAAAGGGAATGTGGATTTTATATTAAAAAATTGAAATATCAGAAATGTCAAGTATGCCATCATAGGCACATTCCTTGCCTATGATGGCATGGCTGCCCAGTATAATAGAAGAAAATATGTTTTAGCGGAATTTTCGCATTTAATTCAAAGATAACAAGAATACAACAAATAAAAAAGTGACACACATTAAAAGAATTAAGAACATAAGTCAAATAAAATATCTTACATTTTTTATCGACCCCAGCGCATTCAGAGTGACACCAGGATTTTTACTCCTGACATTTAATCCAGCATTCTTTCGACTTTGAGAGGGAGTACATGTCATTACAATTCAAGCAAGCGACGTCGGAATCATCATCTTCAAAATTTTCGTTATCGCTCGCAAATTCCTGTTACTTCTCATCATTTCTCTCTATCCCTTCTTTTGCCATTCGGTATAATGTTCGTTTTTCAAGAAAAGTGTCATCCACAGATTTCCGTTCTAATCTACTGTTGTACGTAGCTTTTCCTTTAGGTTCCATCTTCTGTTTTATTTGTCGTATAACTTTGTTTGTCAGTTTTCTTCGTTCTACATTTTCTTTTTCAACAACCTTATCTTTTAATTCTTGAATTTCAGGGGTTGAATTTATTACCCCTGTTTTTCACGCTTTTTTTTGTTTTTTTTTGTGTTTGACTACGACACACTTGGAATATGTGATAAATCTTGTATTGTTATGTGAAGAGTATCCTGTTGAGTATTTTCTAGAAAGACCCGTTGGTAGTCTATAGGTGGGTAATTTTGTCCACTTTCTAGGTTTTCTTCTAGATTATAATCTGGATTGTTTAGATGGATGTTTTGAGTTCGATCTTGATAGCTCTCTATAGGTTTATCTGTAACCAATGATGGAGCGAACATCCATTCCTCAAAAATATCAGGATTAAAAGGTTGAATCCCTGTTTTGACAAAGGTATTTATGGCATTAGCAGGAGTAGCACTTTTAAGGTAAGCTATTTTAAATAAACCAGCAACTTGAAAGTGCGTAACGAGTCTTCCAGGATTTTGTTTGAACCAATTTTGAATCTCGTGGTTATAAAAGGTTTGTAGAGGACTAAAAAAGCCCACGTCTAGTGGCTGCACCCGGTGGGAACAGTGTGGTGGAAAGCAATACCATTCTCTTTTGCAACTTGTAAGACTTCCAGTCCCTTATGACCACTGTGGCCATCTAACAATAATAATATTTTGTTTTCATTCGAAGCTTTGGTATAGTGAATAAAATCCATTGCCAAACCATTGAACAAAATTGTCTGAAGACCTCCACCCTTTCTCACGGCAAAAAGCAACACGTTCTGGTAGGGCAGCGTCCATTAATTCATTTTTGAACCTTTTTCTGGGAAAAATAAATGCAGGTGGTACAAAAGTGCCAATTGCATTCATTGAACATACAACTGTTAAATGCTGACCTCGTTCCGCACTGCTCAGTGCTCCAATTTGTTTCCGTCACTTGGTTGCAAACAGTTTTTGAGGCCTTGTTTGAACAGTACTAAGACCTGATTCATCAACGTTGAATATATTTTCGGATTGAAAATTGTATGTATCTAAAACTTTTGCTAAAGAGATAAAATATGCTTTAATATTGTTCTTATTAAATGCTTGTGCTCAAGCGAGAGATGTATTTTCTAATGTTCTGAGTGAAATGGTACTATTTCTTTTTAAAAAACCACTCACCCACTTCAGTCCAGCAAGACGAGTCGTTTTGTTGAATTTGTGTTTGATGTTATTTCTCTCAGCGAGTTCGAAAACTAATTGTCTCAAATTTAGCGTTGTGAGACCAAAAAATCTTGTTTCCATATCAATCACATGAGTAGCTAACTATTGCTCAAGATGAGGACGTAGGGTAATTCTTATTGGTAGTTTATCCAACTTTGTTTTCTAATTTTAAAAATTTTCTTTGCTAATGCATCTAATATTTTGTATTCAATTAAATTTTGAATATTAGTATTTGTTTTATAACGTCTATATGCTGTTTTACAGTTATTTGCAGCTGTTTCGCAGTTATTATCCCACCATGGTCTTGGAATCTTTTCTGTAGGATATTTTTTATTTTTTGATACTTTTGACATAGCAATGGATGCGCATCTGTTTATTTTATTAACTAATTCCTTATAAGTTTTTCTGAAGAAAAGTTAGATGAATACAAATTCAAATTTGCTTTATTTAGATTCCATCTTTTTTGTGTATTGTTATCATCAGGTGGTGTTGCTCGTTTGGAATTTTCCAAGGCGATGGTCAAGGAAAGATGGTCAGACCATATGGATCTTGAATAACAGACCAAGTTAATTTAGGTACAATGTCCTCGGTGCACATTGTTATGTCGAGAACCATAATTTAAGTATAATAGATTTCATTGTTCTATCGCCTCTAATAAAACTTTACCTTGAGTATAATTAGTTTTCCATCCCCAAGCAATGTTGAAAGCGTCTAAGTTCCCTCCAATGATGGATGGCGGAGGAATGTGTTCAAAAAATGGATCCATTCTTCAACTGTTACTCTAATATGTGGTTCTTTGTATATGGATATTATATGTTTAGGTTTATTGATACAAGAAAGTTTAACAGCCATGCATGTGTAAGAAAATTCTAATCTAATAAATTTTTTTCTTCTACAATTATTTTATCTTTAATTCAAATTAGCACCTGTACTTATAGCTGTAGCTCAGATCTAAAGCAATTATAACCAGAGAAGTTGTAAAATTTTCCTGGTTTAAACCATGTTTCTGATAACATGGCCAAATGCTCATTTTTTAAAATAAATAAGGCTTCTAAATTTGGTTTATTAGAAACTGCTCAGCGGCAGTTCCATTGTAAAAAAAATTATAGAGCTAATTATGTCTGAGAAGATGACGTTTGTCCAAGTAAGTCTTCTTGCGAGATCGATGCCGTACTTAAGTATTTATTAATTCATTTTATAATCTCTGTTTTTGATCTGTCAAAATTTTCAGTGAGTTTTAATGAACTATCGAGAAATACTGAGGCACACATAGTCTTTTATTCATAAATAAAATATTGTCATACTTAATTACTATTCAGTCATATTTCTGGAGACAGATACTTTTGAATCTTTTCAATTTTAGTATTTTCTAGCCCATTTGCAGAAAAGTAAATACTTTTAATAAAATATTAGTCAAAATCCAATTAAGTTATCTTTAAAATTCATATTGTGTTGTACTCATCAAAATTTTACAAAAATATCCACTCGTTATTATCGCTTTGCGAAATATTTAGTAGAGAAAAACTGCAATTCTGCATTTTGATTATCTTTTTGGACAGTAAGACAGTATATATACTCGAATTGTAAGTTGGAACAGTACATTCCGTCGATCACTTGGTGTATTACAACATGTGGTCGCCTATTGTCCTGTGCCTCTTTGGTAAGTTTTTAATTTTTTATATATCATATCTAATAATTTTACTGTTGAATAAACTTTGGCTAAATTTAAATCTCATAAAGATTAGTAAATTTAAGATCGTTTTTTTCCTTTTGATTTAATGTCTATGTAAGTCAATATTTCAATACTAAATATACCTTACTTCTGCTTAAGCTATTTTTATCAAATATATTGTCTAACAGGTATTTCTAGAGAATATTTTGTAGGCCCAAAACTTGAAAAAGCTTGCTGATTTAATCATTTTACCACTTATAATTCTTATGGTTTTTTTTTGTATTGTGATCAATTCCATGTTGTATTAAATGTATTAAAATTCCTAAGATCTCTAAGAATACTTTCAGCCCTACTTGTTGCCAGTGTTTACTGTATGATACTCTGTAAGCAAGAGCTTAAAATTCTAAGATTTTGGTTGAAAAAATTAAACTTTTTTCCTTTGTTGCTACCTTCTTATTCTTCTTTGACTGTACGCACTTCGTTTTGTATTGTATTTATATTTTTCTGGTAATAACATTGTTATTCCTTTGTTAGTTACTTCTCTGCTGTTTTAGAATCATTAATATAGCGTTTACTGATCTTGTTGAATTTGAATGGTCTGTGTGTGTCGATTTAAATTTGTCTTTGTTAATCTTTTTCAAAAGTGCCTTCATTTTATACTTTCGATTGTAAATTCTTGCGAGGCTTCATCGTGATTTTTCTATCGAATTTCTTCATATTCAGAATATGACCTCTAATTCCATAGTCTCCGAATGACAAAGGTTGCATTGTTTTCTTCCTTATTGGATTTGTGTTTTTTCTGCTCCATTTTTGTCCCACGAGATGCTAGAAAATGGATGGGTATTATAGGAATAGACGCCTAATGGGCTCTATCCCTATAATACCCATTCATTAGGCCTCTAACGTAGACTCCAGGCTGCATCAAGTTTTCGGTCTAAGCTTTTCCAATACAAGCTTGAATAAGATGTTACTGCGATTTTTATTCACATAAGCACTTCCTGGGTAGTACTCCCTAGTATTGTTTTTTGACCCATGCAGATACCCTGAAGAATAGGAGACTTACTACTGCATTCAGCCGTCTTGTTTTTCCAGTATTAATATACGCCAGAACGTCGTTATCAGATTGAGCTATTTAGAGAACTAATTTTAGTAACTTAATTTTTAATACTTAGTGGTCTTTGATATCTTTTCCAGATAAAAGTGGTTGCATTAGCAAGATATTTTGATTTTGCCTGTGTCTCGATGAGACTTGGATTTATTTCTCATCCTCAGTTTTAACATCCCCAGCTTATTTACAAATTCTACATATTCTCCAATTTTTCTTCATGTATTAGTTATTACAGAAACCTTACTTGATTTAATCTTATATTTCTTCATAGTGGGCGTTACCTTGGCTTCAAACCCTGGCTGGAAACATGGTGCTGAGTATGTATATTCGTTGGAAGGACGTACCCTGGCTAATGTTGATGCTCTTTCTCAACAACAATCTGGAATCCTATTTAAAGGTACCCTTAGACTTCAACCATTATCCGAAGGAAAACTGAGAGGATTAATCGAGAAAGCTGAGTACGATGATATCCATGCTGAACTTCCCGATGGATGGCAAACCGAAATTCCTGACAAACAAGTTTCTTGGAAACAACTTAAGATGGTTAAGAAGCCATTCGAAGTTGAAATGAGGAACGGCAGAATTACTGGTTTGATTGTCAGCAAGTCTCTTGCTAACTGGGAAGTTAACTTTATCAAGAGTATTATGAGTCAATTCCAGTTGAACACTAAAGGAGAACAACTTATCGAGAGTCCCCTTAACAGCCTCCCAGAAGAAGGACCTAATAATCAAGAAGCTGTTTTTCTTGCTATGGAAGACACCGTTACCGGTGAAACTGAAACGTTGTACCTTATTAGACCTTTACCAGAAGAAGTAGTGCAAAGAAAATCTGGTGAAGCTAAATACCTGGATGCTGCTGAAAACGAAGATATTATCGAGATTATTAAACATAAAAATTACAGCAAAGCTGAGGAATTACCCGCCTACTCCTATGGATTTGCCAAACTTAGAAACGGAGAGCCAGCTGGTAATCAAATGGGAGAATTCTTCACCAGAGAAACATTTTCCCGTGTTATTGTAACTGGAAGCTTACAACAGTTCACGATTCAGAAATCTTTTACCGTTAACAAAGCCATCGTAAGCCCAACTTTAAGTGACAATGATAAAGCCTCAGTTGTATCAGTAGTAAATGCTACATTGGAAGAAATTAAATCTCCAGAACAAAACATCGATGAAGTACCTCAACCAGTTAATGTAGGAAACCTTGTGTATTCTTATGGAAAACCATCTGCTCTCTCAGGAGCCTCAAAAAGATCCGGTTTACACGCTCATAAATATGATCAAAACGATTTAAGAAGAAACAACGTAAGAGATCGTCGTTCTCTCCAATTTTCCTCTGAAGAATCTTCAGAAGAATCTGCAGAAGATTACATGCAAGAGCAACCGGAATTAACTGAATCTGCTCCACGCCCACTCTTGCCTTACACTATAGGATACGAAGGAATGTCCATTAAACAAAAAATTAATGTCGTCAAAGAAGTTCAAAAATTGGCCAAGGAAATCGCAAAAAGGATGAAAGATACTCATAGAACCCACCACGAACAACTTTTAGATCAATTCCAAAATATGGTTTCGTTAATTCGTATTATGAATTTCCAAGAACTGCAACAAGCTGCAGAAGCTTTGTACACTAACAAACGCGGAGGATCTGAAAGTGTCGAGTGGTCCGTTTTACGCGATGGAGTAGCTGCATCAGGTTCTGGACCAGCACTTCTTTTAGCTAAGGATTTGATAATTACAGGTAAATTGTCTGGAGAGGAAGCAAGTCTTTTTATCGCTAGCTTGACAGGTGCAGTTCGTGAACCAACTCCATCATTCTTAAAGGTATTGTTTGATATCGTCAAGAATCCTGTAGTTCAAAAACAATGGCCTTTAAACAACACTGCTCTTCTCGGTTTGACTGATATTATTAACCGTGTGTACGTTGACAAAGAACAATCCAAAAATCGTTTCCCAACAGAAAGTTTCGGATCTTTCGAAACCAAAGAAGGTGAACAATTTATTAAAAATGAAGTACTTCCATACCTTAGCCAAAAGTTGAAGGAGGCCGTCGACAATGATGAAACCCACCAAGTTCATGCGTATACCCGTGTTATTGGAAACACTGGTTCTTACTACTTCTTGCAAATATTCGAACCTTACTTGGAAGGAAAACAACCTTGCTCTCAATTCCAACGCATGCTTATGATATTAGCTATGGAAAAACTCGCAATTGCACACCCCAATACTGCTCAAGCTATTCTCTTCAGAGTTTACCAAAACCCTGCAGAAACTAGGGAAGTTAGAATGGCAGCTGTATTCCAAATCATGCGCACTGGACCCAGCTCTCAAATGCTCCAAGCTATGGCTGAATATACCAACATTGATGATGACGACTATGTCAATGCTGCTGTTATTAGCTCCATCAGAACTGCTTCTGAGTTGGAAGGTGAACAATATATTAAAATGTAAGTATTTTTAACCTTTATCTCAAAATTTAGAGGCGTAGATATCTAAGATTTTAGATACTCTTTTTTGTCTTTCATAGTTTTAAATCTGTTTTTGTTTTCAAGAGCTTTTCTTCACTGTTTTAATCTTTTCTCTAAATTATATTATCTACAATCTAAATAATGCCAAGATACAAACTTTTATTCAAATGAAATTTATCAGTCTCTTTCTGTTATAATATTAGTTGTTATGCCATCATACATATCTCTCACTGTTAGCTAATTGTGTGTGTGCTTGGAATATTGACTGCGAAACCTTTAGCTAATTTGTTACACAACAGTGTCTCCCCTGACGTTACCAATATTTCTCCATGTATATTATCTTATTACAATTTATGTCTTAATTCGAATGATTTCCGAAGTAGAAATATAAATGTCAAAATAAATATATTTTAAGGTAATATTGTGGAATACTATCTGGACTAAATTCTTAATCTTTCTTTATTTTTTGTAATTCTTAAGCAAATTCCTTGTTGATTATTTTGTCGACTATCAAATTCTGCATTTAATAAACTATCAAAGTATTTTTAATCGCCTTTTTGGAAACGTTTTTATGAACCAGTATTTTATTATTTTAATAAGTCTCAGATAATCCAAACTGATTAGAATCTTCTATTTTCTTTGCTCTCTGCTATCAAGTACATTTCAATAATAAAACTTAATATCACAATTCATATTTTGCAGAAGAACTGCTGCCCAGGCCGCTGTAAATCTTTTGAACGATCAAAAATCTCACGGTCTTCGTCATGGAGCTAACTACCTCCGTACATACGTTGTTGAAGAATTACAAAAGATGTACAAGGAATCAACACAAATCTTCGGTAGCGATGACTCAATGGTACCTAAAGGTATCAGGTACTCACTTCAGCAACACATGGGACAAATCAAACGCAGAATTGTTAATGTTCAAGCTATTACTTCCAGCGTTGATGATCTGTTAAAGGTATTAGAGGAACAAACTGCTTACTTCCAACAAGAACAATCACAACAAAAGCAAAAATCACAAGAGCAGGAAAAGAACCAATGGTCAAGTCACAACATTGCAAAACTCCTTAATATTCAACCTGATAATAGAGAACAGCTTGAAGCTTTTATGTTTATGGAAATCTCTGATCAGTACCTTATGGCTGGTTTAGACAACAGGACTATTGAAAACCTTCCTCAAGCTATTCGTGAATGGGAAGAAGAGCTTAAAAAAGAAAATCAAATGAATATGTACAAACTAACAACAAGAGAAATGGCTGTTGCTTTCCCAACAGGTCTTGGTTTACCATTCTTGTTTACTTACGATGTTCCAATGCTTGCTAAGCTCGAAGGAAAACTTAGAGCTACAGCTAACCCTCAAATTTCTCAAAACAACAAGATCAATATTCCAAATCAAATTGACATTAATGCCGATTTACAAGTTGTAATTTCTTCAAAGGTACAAAGCAGGTTATCTTTTACCAGCCCAATCCACCACCAACAATACATTGCTGGATTTGACAAACATTGGCAAGTTATTGTACCTGTTCGTGCTCAAGTACAAGTTGATATCAAAAACATGAACGCTCAAGTCGAAGTTGAACTCAAGGCTGACAAAGAAGTACCACTTTTGCACTATAGCACTGTACCTTATACTTCTAAGATCGAAGTTACAGATTTCCAAGCTGTTTCACAAAGCCACAACACTAGAGTCATTAGACAAGATGATTTGCAAAGCTTTGAAGCCACTTTCGGCAAAAAATCCACTGGTATGGCATTCCGAGTCGAAATTGAACATCAAAGACAATTCTTCGACACACTTAGTCTTAACCGTATTTTTTCACAGCAAAGTACACTCGATGCTATGAAATCTTTGTGGGATGATAATTCACTTCAATACAGTGAAATCAACGTCTACTTCCGTCCTGAAGAATCGCAAACCCGCAAAGCCATCCTTAAACTTTCTTACGAAAGCAAATACAGATCCCAGCCAGATTCTGATTCAGCAAGTGAATGGATTCTTAACGAGAACGCTGAACCAGCTCAACGCCAAGAAGGGCTTATGAAGAAGGTTGCTGCAGATATCAAGAATGTTCAAGTAGTTTCTCTAGACGCCACTTTAGAATTCCAAGGTCAAAAGAAGATTAAATACATTTTAACCGGAGCTGTTGCTAAGAGTAACGTAGATCCCAAATCCCGCGTTATGGTTTCTTACAAACGCAAAGGCGATGCTAAACCACACGAACTGCACATGGAAGCTAAGAGTTACATACCTAACACCAACGCACTTGATCTTGAATTCACTTTACAAAACGAACCTGTAGCAAACAGCGAAATCAAAATTAAGTTTGGCGATTCTGAGAAGCCCCTCTCCAAAGTTGAGCTTCAAGCAGAACATAGAAGATCCGAAGAGCGTAAGCATTTCTTGAAACAACTTCCAATTTACAGACAATGCAAGGATGAAATGAGAGCTGGTAACAAACAATTGGCAGCTTGTACTAATGTTACTGAAGCTGCCAACCTTTTGGACGCTGTCAGTATCAAACTACATCACGAAAACCTAGATGAAGACATGGTTCAATACATTCAAACAGCTTTCAACGCATTCAGAGCCTTTGCTTACCCAGAATTATACATTGGTCAAAAGAATGTCCAATCAAGTAAAAACGAAGTAAAAATTCAAGCCCAATTCTACCCAGACTTACAAGCTGTAAATGTATCGATTAAAGCAGAAGGTGAACAGTCTGTTTTCACAAAGATCCCAGTTTCTCCTCTCGCCAAGGAAATCTTTGTAGTTCAACCAGTATTCCATCTCCGTTCACGACTGATGAGCTATGCTTGGGAAATGGACACCTACAGACGTAAGTTTTATTGATTTCAAGCATTTTGTTACACCTTAGTTTTTTTCAACATTCGAAAAAGGTTTTGAGTTAATCGTATTATCTTTTATTTAACTACATAGGTCTAAAATATTATTTGATATTGTTGTTCTGAATAGATCAACACAACTAACTTTATATCATTTTGTCAAATTAGTTAATCAAAAATGTAGTTTTTCGAATATTCCAGATGACTCAGATACTGAAACTTTGTATTATTTACTTTATTTCCTTTTCTGTTTCCGTAAACACAACATTTGTGCTAATTTGTCTTTTTTATTTTTAAACTTTTCATATTGGCCCCTTTCGTGTATTTGAAGTATTTTATTATTGTATTTTTTAATTATCACAAACAACTTGTTTTTAACGTAAATTTTTAGTTAACTTTCCTTATTATAACTGCATCATGGCATACCTAATATAATTGACAGCATATAATGATTCAAACCTTTGTATTACAGCAAAACCCTTTGCAGTTATTGATTTTTTTTTATTTTTTTTAGCTTTCTGCACCATCGACAAAACCCATGTGAACACCTTCAGCAACCGTACCTACCAAGCTGAGGTTTCCAAACACTGGACACTTGCTCTACAATACTTGAATGGCAACTCCCGCCTACAACAACAAAAATCCATCCCAGAACAACTAAAACAACAGCCTGAACACTACGTAGTGCTAGTACGTGAAAGTCCCGAATCTTCAAACAAGAAGGAAGTTAAGGTTGTGCTCAGCACTCCAGAAACTAACTTTAAAATTGTTGAGATTGACATGACTCCTACTCAATCACAAGGCTCAGGAGCTCGTGGAAAAGTTTCAGTGAATGGACAACAAGTACCAGTCAGCGAAAAGCAAAGTCATGACGTTAGTGATGGATTTATCCAAATCTACGCTTTACCTAATGGAGAAATTAAGGTTGAAGTAAATGGAGCTCTCTACATTATCTACGATGGAAACCGTGTTAAAATGTCAGCTACCAGCGACAAGCTTAGAAACCGCATTGTTGGAATCTGTGGACAATTCACAGAACAAGAGTCTGATGATTTCCTTACACCACAAGCCTGCATTGCTGTCGACGAAGAAGAGTTCCTAAGAAGTTTGGAAGTAGAAGGCCAAAAGGGTAAACAACTAAGAGATGCCTTTAATGGTAACTCAAAGAAATGCTTAGATCGTGAAGTTCCAAGATTCGTCAATGTCATTAATGCTCGTGATTACAGAAGCCAAAACTACCAACCATCCAAATCCACCAGATGCACACACTTCCAGACCCAATACCACGAAGAGGGTGACAAGATCTGCTTCAGCATCCATCCTCAACCTACCTGCAGTAGCCACTGCCAACCAAGAAAACAATTCACTAAGAAAGTACCTGTTCACTGTGTACAAAAAGGCAACGCTGCCCAAATGTGGAAACAACAAATCCAAAATGGACAGAGCCCTGACTTCAGTTCTAAGTCAGAACACAGATCTGTTTCCATGAAGATCCCTGAAAGCTGCTCGCAGTAAATTTGACGACTGTGTTATGTATTTTAGATATTAGAAGCATCGCAAAATGTAAAAAAAAAGATGAATAAATGTATATAAGTAATATAATAATTTTAGTTTTTATTATTACTTCCCACAATCAAATTTACTTGATATTTTCAAATAAATATTCGAAAATTATTATTACATTAAAGATTATTATTATAAAGATCTATAATAGATTTGTACACATTATTATTTCTACGACCAATATACATAAGTCTATTTGCTTTAAAGACTTTTTATCATCTATCTATACTATACCTAAAATTTTATAGATATTTATGTTTATATTTCCTTCTCTTCACCATTTTCACCAAATGATCCTTTGTGATCTTCTCCTATATTTTGTGTATATTTTGCAAAATATTTTATTGTTTCATCAGGTTATTTTATACTTGTATGTCATCTTCATCAACAGCTATTCTATTCATCGTCGGATGTAAATAACTTGGTGAGATAGAATCTCCTTGTGTAACTCCTCTCTGTAGTTTTATTTTTCTGTTTTTTTTCTTCTGTTTTTACTTGCGATGTTGCATTGTTTTATATATATTTAATGATTTTTGTATATCGGTCATCAATTCTATTGTTGCTTAAGGTGTTAAGGATGGCCCAAACTTCTATGAAGTCAAATACCCTCTCGTAATCTACAATAGCTATCCAGAGTGTTATATTTTTGTATTCGTTTGATTTTTCAATAAGTGTTCTTATTACTTGTATATGACTTCTGGTGGTAATTGTGAGTGTGCTTTTGTCAGTTAGATCAGATATCTAGACAGCAGGGTAGATTGTCATAAGTCCAGATATAAGAAAAGGGTACAGAGATGAGAATATAAGGATTATTAATAACGAATACAAAATAGCCATCTTCAAACGTTGTTCTGTCAAAATTTGACCGCAATTGGACTACTTATTAGTTTAAAAGTTATTTAAGAAAAATAGTAACAAGGAAAAATAGTAGTTTTTCTTAAAAAATACACCTTGTTATAACTTGATAACGATAACAAAAATTTTATGTTACATACATAAATGCATTTCATCCGATCTCAAATTGCCACGATATTGATTTTTTTGAAATCCCTTTATAACATCCTATTTATTCAGTATTACAATAAAAATATACGTAAATTGTAGATCCACCTACTGTACGTAATGATAATTCAATTAGTTGATTTAAAGAAGGTGGTACTTCTTTCTGACTAATTATATTGACTAGGACTGCCTACAATATCATTCGATTCGTCACTTACAACTAGAAATACAGAAACTATGATTCGACACCAATTAGTGGTGATAAAAACGTTTTGAAGGTTGAATATGTTAATTTTAACAGTTTTTGTGCTGGTTTAATTCAAATTTAAAATGAACGACGACATTCTACCTGAACAACTGGAAAAAGTACTCTTAAAATAGGCAATCAGCGATAAATAATAATGCTGAGTCATAAGCTATAGCCGCGTAGTCTAGCTGTGATCGTATAATAGTTCTGGATATAATTAACAATGTACTCCTGTTTGTGCTAGAATTCTTAGTAAATTTATTCTTCTGTAATATTTACATGTTAGATTATTGATATGTTCTTTCAAATTCAACTTTCTGTCAAAAGTAACTCCTAGCAGTTTTAGCGAATCTCTTTGTTGTAGTGATTGGTTGTATAGATATAATGAGATTGGTGTGCTGACTTTGTTTTTAGAAATTACTACATATTTAATTTAAGTTGTTGAAAAGATAAATCCAGTTTCTTGTGATCATTTTTCAATATCTAGCAAGAAACTCTGTGCAAGTTGTGAGAGGTTGTTTAAGTTTTTGCATTGACCAAATATTACGAGATCTTCAGCAGATAAGCGGCCTTTAAGTGGAAGCTTTAAATTTCGTAGAACATCATTTATGGCAATTATAAATAGCGTAGGACTTATAACAGATCCTTGAGGAATTCTATTTTCTAATTCCGCTTTTGACGACAAGTTACCATTTACTCTAACTTGCATATACCTTTTATATAAGAAGTTTTTTATAAATGCAAAGCAATGTCCTTTAATTTCTAAATCCTACAGTAATCTGATGATACGGTGGCGCCAAGCTGTATCAAAGGCTCTTTCAATGTCGAAGAATATTCCAATACATTTTTTATTAAGGGAGAAGGCTTCATGTAGACTCCTTTTTAGGTCTATAATATTGTCTAGAGTTGATCTATTTTGTCAGAAATCACTTTGTTCTGGAATAATAATATTTCGATCTTCAAGTGTCCTGAGGAAACGACGGTTGACCATTTTTTCTAACAGTTTGCATGCAGTACATATTAGTGCAATTGGTCTATAAGACTCAGGATCTGTTTTGGGACATTTTGGTTTTAATATTGGTATTATTATAGAATCTCTTCATGCTGTTGGAAATTTCTGTTCTGTCCAAATAATATTAAATATGTTAAGAAGATGATTGTGTGCATTCTCAGGTAAATGCTTAAGAAAAACCATTGGGGTATTATCTGGACCCTCACTAGTCTCTTTAAATGAGTTTAATGCATCTCATTCATTAATGCATTCATTAATGCATCTCATCTCATTCATCGAATGAAAAAGAGCACAGAAATAACAAAAACGATAAAAATTCGGAAGTTACAATATTTCGGTCATGTAATGAGACATCCAGAGAGGTATAACCTTCTACACCTCATAATACAGGGTAAGATCGACGGAAGGAAAGGCCCAGGCCGACGAAGAACATCGTGGCTACGAAATCTCCGAGAATGGTATCAAGAAACCACCTTTAATTTATTTAGAGCCGCCGTGAATAAGGTTATTATTGCCAATATGATCGCCAACGTTCGATAATCGGACAGGGCACTGAAATAAGAAGAAGAATGCATCTTTGTATTTATTTATATTAAATTTGGTGTTTAAAGCATCTGTGTGCATCTACAAACGGTATAAATACATTGCATTCTTCGGTCTGTTTAAAGTTGATAAAATTATTATTTTAATTGCTTGTATTAGATCTATTTTTATATGTATTAGCAAATTGTTTTGCTATTTCTAGGTCATCTGTGATTATTCTATTATCTTTCTTTAGTTGTGTGATTTTGTTATAAGCCGGTATTCCAGATATTTTTTTGACATTCTTCCACATTTCAGAAATAAGTGTCCTACTCTTTATACTGGACACAAATCCAGCCCACGAATTTCTTTTTGAAGTTTTTATTGTTAACTGAGCTTTAGCTTTAAGTTTTTCAAATTCTATTTTATTGTTAAGTGTTTTATGCCTTTTGTATTTGTTAAAGGCTTTTTTTGGAAGCTTCGATCGATGTTTTACATTGTTCATTCCACCAAGGAACTGGTTTATGTTTTGTAACAAGTGCAGTTTTTTTAATGGTTACCTCGGCTGCATCTAAGATTATGCTGAAGAAGATTTCGATTTGTGTCAATATTGTTGGATATTTTACAGTTTGTGAGATGTTTTTCTATAATATCTTCAAATAATGTCCAATTTGCTTCCTTCGTTTTTCACTTAGAGGTGTGCTTTCCATGGTTGAGCTTCAACAAGTCATTGGTGATTATTATTGGGTAATGATCACTGTTATAAATGTAGTCTAATCTGTCCCATATCATTAATTCAGAGAAGTTATTATCCGCTATCGTTAAGTCCAAGTGGTTCAAGAATTTAAATATCTAGGAGCAACAATCACAAATGACAACAAATTAGAGCGAGAAGTTGAAACGAGAATAATGGCAGGAAACAGATCTTTCTTTGCAATGCAACATCTGATGAAGTCGAAATTTCTTTCACGAGGTGCAAAGATCCGGATATATAAGACCATAATACGACCAACAGTCGCGTATGGAAGCGAAACATGGACGATAACAAAAAGAGAAGTAAATAAATTGCTGGTATGGGAACGTAAAATTCTTCGAATGATATATGGCCCTTGCAGAGACAGCGTGAGAAACGAATGTAGGGGCAGATACAATAACGAGCTAGAGTCTCTATTCGGAAAAGAAAATCTAGTCAGATATATAAAGGACAATAGACTCAGATGGGCAGGACATGTGATACGACAATAGCCTTATAAACAATGTGTTCTGGGAAAGGCCAGATGGAAGAAGGTCTGTAGGGCGGCCTAGAAAAAGGTGGAAAGATGCAGTCAGAGAAGATCTAGAGAAGATGGGAGTGCGACAATGGGAATTACTGGCACAGGACAGACAAACATAGAAGGCAATAGTAAACGCGGCAAAGACTTACAAAGAGTTGTACGCCATTGATAATGATGATGTTAAGTCCAAGGGCGTTGATTCGCCTGTTTGTATATTGAATCTTGTAGGTCGTCTATCATTCAACATTGATAAGGTATACTGATCTATTAATTATTCAATAAGAAGGCCTGTTTTGTCATCATATGTAACACCCCAAAATAATAATAATATATTGTTATAATATTAAGCTATTGGATTACTTTGACCTTAAGAAGTCTAGAATTAATTAAAATGGACCGCAACATAAGTAAAGAAATAGACAAGAGAGTTACCACGGTTTGTACATTTCTAAATTTGAAGTTTTTTGTCTCTATTTACATTTAACAATTAATGAATTTTCGAAGTTCGACAGAGGTCGTATTATTGATAAGAATTAATATTCTTGGATTTTCTATAAAAATATTCACAATTTTAGTCTACTACTATCAGTAGCACTTAATTTTTAAAATAATTGCTACCTTTGCAAATTCAGTTTAGTTTACACTACAAGCTATTTTAATGTGATTACTTTTGCTTATTTATCTCTACACGAGTTAATTTAAGCAATCAAACTTTGTTACAATTTATCAGCAATTGTTTTTTCTGCATCATTTTTAACCCTTGAGTTAATACTGACCTTGCTAGAAAAGTCAAATTACTTTATGAATGAATTCTAAATTTTGCGAAAGAAATTCCGCTATGATAATCACAATGTATTATAATCAGGATTTAAACAAATTTTTAAAAATAACTGTTTATACAATGTGTAACTTAAAAAAAATTTTGAAGGAAAAAATATCCAA